GATAAAATTCCGCAGTCTATCCATCTGTTCCAGGGGTTTTGTTTTGGGGTAGTTTTTTGAATAACATTTCAATTTCATTGCTTGTAATTGGTCTGTTTAGATTTTCTGTTTCTTCCTGGGTCAGTCTTGGAAGGTTGTATTTTTCTAGAAAGTTGTCCATTTCTTCTAGGTTATCCAGTTTGTTACCATATAATTTTTCACAGTATTCTCTAATAATTATTTGTATTTCTGTGGTGTCTGTAGTGATTTTTCCTTTCTCATATCTGATTCTGTTTATGTGTGTAGATTCTCTTTTTTTCTTAGTAAGTCTGGCTAAGGATTTATCTGTTTTATTTATTTTCTCAAAGAACCAGCTGTTGGTTTCAGTACTTTTTTCTATTGTTTTTTTCTTCTCAGTTTTATTTATTTCTTCTCTGGTCTTTATTATATCTCTCCTTCTACTGACATTGGGCCTCGTTTGTTCTTCTTCTTCCAGTTCTAATAATTGTGAATTTAGACTATTCATTTAGGATTGTTCTTCCTTCTTTAAATAGGCCTGGATTGCCATATACTTTTCTTTTGAACTTGCTTTGCTGCATCCCACAGAAGTTGGGGTTTTGTGCTGTTGTTTTAATTTTTTCTCCATATATTACTTGATCTCTGTTTTAATTTGGTCATTGATCCATTGGTTATTTAAGAGCATGTTGTTAAGCCTCCATGTGTTTGTGGGCCTTTTTGTTACCTTTGTACAGTTTATTTCTAGTTTTATACCTTGGTTGGTACAATTTCAATCTTTTTTAAGTTACTGAGGCTCTTTTGTGGCCTAGTCTATGGTCTATGTTCCATGTGCACTTGAGAAGAATGTGTATCATGCTGCTTTTGGATGGAATGTGCTATAGATTTCTGTTAGGTCCATCTGTTCTAGTGTGTTGTTCAGTGCCTTTGTGTCCTTACTTATTTTCTGTCTGGTTGATCTGTCCTTTGGAGTGAGTGGTGTGTTGAAGTCTCCTAAAATGAATGCATTACATTCTATTTCCTCCTTTAATTCTGTTAGTATTTGATTCACATATGTCTTTGCTCCTGTTTTGGGTGCATATATATTTATAATGGTTATATCCTCTTGTTGGACTGACCCTTTATCATTATGTAATGTGCTTCCTTGTCTGTTGTTATTTTATTTGTTTTGAAGTCTATTTTGTATGATACAAGTATTGCAACACCTGCTTTTTTCTCCCTATTAGTTGCATGAAATTTCCTTTTCCATCCCTTTACTTTCAGTCTGTGTATGTCTTTGGGTTTGAAGTGAGTCTCTTGTAGGCAGCATATAGATGGGTCTTGCTTTTTTATCCATTCTGTAACTCTGTGTCTTTTGATTTGTGCACTCAGTCCATTTACATTTAGGGTGATTGTCAATAGATATGTACTTATTACCATCACAGGCTTTGGATTCATGGTTACCAAAGGTTCAAGGGAAGCTTTTTTACTATCTAACCATCCAACTTAACTCACTTATTCCACTATTAAAAACACAGTCTGATGATTCTTTATTTCTCTCTGTTCTCTTGTGCTCTTTGTGTTTCACTTGACTTTGTGGATAGCTGATTTTATTTTGCAATTAGTTAGTATTTAGTTGGTCTACTTCCTTTGCAGTTGTTTTATTTTCTCTGTGACGGCTATTTAGCCTAAGGCATACTTCCATCTAGAGCAGTACCTCTAAAATGCAGTGGAGAGATGGTTTGTGGGAGGTAAATTCCCTCAACTTTTGCTTATGTGGAATTTGTTTAACCTCCTTCAAATTTAAATGATGGTCCTGCTGGATAGAGTTTTCTTGGTTCAAGGCCCTTCTGTTTCATTGCATTGAGTATATCATGCCATTACCTTCTGGCCTGTAAGGTTTCTGCTGAAAAGTCTGGTAGCCTGATGGGTTTTCCTTTGTAGGTAATATGTTTTCTCTCTCTGACTCCTTTTAATACTTTTTCCTTGTCTTTGATCTTTGCCATTTTAATTATTATATGTCTTGGTGTTGTCCTCTTTGGATCCCTTATGTTCAGATATCTGTGTACTTCCATGGCCTGAGAGACTATTTCTTCCCCAAATTGGGGAAGTTTTCAGCAATTATTTCTTCAGAGACACTTTCTATCCCTTTTTCTCTCTCTTCTTATTCTGGTACCCCTATAATGCAAGTGTTGTTCCATTTGTATTGGTCACACAGTTCTCTTAATGTTCTTTCATTCCTAGAGATACTTTTTTCTCTCTCTGCCTCACTGTATTCCTGTTCTCTAATTCTATTCTATTAACAGTCTCTTCCACCTCATCCAGTCTGCTCTTAAGTCTTTCCATTGATTGTTTCATTTTTGTTATCTTCCTCTTGAATTCATCCCTTAGCTCTTGAATATTTCTCTGTAGCTCTGTCAGCATGCTTATGACTTTTATTTTGAATTCTTTTTCAGGCAGATTGGTGGTTATTTCAGTCTCACTAAGCCATCTTTCTGGTGTTTGAGGGATTTTGGATTGAACAAGGTTCTTCTGACTTTTCATAGCCCTGGGGCAACGGAAGTGGTTGCCAGCAAGTGGCGCATGTGTCACCTGGAAGAACAAAATCCCTTCCTGCTTGCTGGTCTTCTTGCCTGTCTCTGCTCTTTGTGCCAGTTAACCATGCACAGGGAGCAGCCTATGGGTTAATCCCCTAGGCTGCCATGGTGGGGGTGGCCCTTGGGATGTCTAGGGAACTTGTGGGGGTCACAGGCCAGCAGCACATGTCTGCCACAAGGACACGGCCTCTTCATGTCTCCCTGTCTCTGAACCCATCTCCTCTGTCTGTGCCAGTCAACTGTGCACAGGTAGCAACCTGTCTTAATCCCCTGAGCTGCCGTGGGCGGGGTGGCCCTTGGGATGGCCTAGGGCATTGGGGGGGTTGCAGCCAAGCAGCATGTGTTCTGCCATGATAACAAATCCCCTTTGTGCCTCCTGGATTCTGCGCCCATGTCCACTTCTATGCTGGTTAATTGCATGGAGGGAGCAGCCTCTAGGTCTGGACAGGTAAGCTGTGTGCAGGGAAAAGCTTCTGTGTTAAGCTGTGTAGATGTTATAGGCAGGGCTGCTCTCTGGCTGGTCCACAGCAATGGCAGGGACAGCCAGCTTGCTCACAGGTACTGGCAGGGAAAAAGAAACAGCAGGCTGCCTATTTCTGTGAGGGACCTTGGAGCTGCATTACCACCTATGGGGACAGGCACCTGAAGTTCCTTAAAGTTCCCAGGCTTCTGGGCTGAGTGTGCCAGGATGATTTTGTCCACCTGTTAAACCCTTGTCCCTTTAAGACTTTTAAAGCGCCTACTTTTCTTTTGTCTCAGGGCAGCCGGCTGTGGGAACCTGGTTGCAGTCTTAGTTTGGATTTTGCTTTTCTACTCCTCTAATATCCAGAACACTATGCAGTGTGTGTCTGTGCTCCTGGGACAGATTACTAGGGCTGGTTATTTAGCTGTCCTGTGCTTCCACTCCCTCCCCACTCTCATTCTTTTCCTTCTGCCAGTGAGCTGGGGTGAAGGGAGTGCTCGGGTCCCACTGCATCACGGCTTTGTATCTTACCCATGTCAGTGAGATGTTGGGTTCTTGCAGATGTAGTCTGGCTGGTGTACTGTATCTTCTGGTCGCTCTTTTAGGAATAGTTGTATTTGCTGTATTTTCAAAATATACATTGATTTGGGAGGAGATTTCTGCTACCCTACTCACTCCCCTATCTTTGGGTGGAGTCTCCCATTATTTCTTAATAACCTGATGAGAAGTCTATCTTCTGGGGCCTCCTGGAGTTACAGCTAGTGGTGGCTGAGTAGATTGCACATAATAGGAACAAACATATGCATTCCCCTGAGCCTTTAGAAATCCTTTTTCTATATCATATCATAGAAATTCAGGCATTTTGTAACTAGAGCTTTGGTTGAGGTCAGGCTTAGATTATCTAACCTGATGGATTATTCAAATCATTTCTGGGTACTCAAGCTAACACATTAAATACACAATCCCAGGTGGGTGTGGCCATTATCAATTAATTTGACCCAATCAACTCTTGATATAACAACCTTAAAATCCATCTCACACATGCTTCTGAGTCTCCTGTCAATATAAATTGGTAAGTTCTTGTTTAAGTATTTTGATTTATAAACTGTCTCCTCCTGGACATGATAAGTAAACCTTGTACTTCTCTGGGCTGTTCAGAGATATAACTCTCACTGTGGTTGAAGGCAATGAGCAATGTTTGTGGGGGAATCCTAAGGAGAATTAGCATAAGCATGTGAGGCAACTATACCAGGTATAGTCATTGAAAGGCTTATGCAGAGAAGGGCTAGCTTCCTTGAAACAAGGGGGAAGCATTTTCTCCACCAACAGGGACATTTGAAGGTTCACGGTTCTCAGCCTTGTCTAAGTCTGCCCCAAATTCTTCCCCACCAGGGCCCTTACCTTAGTGCACAAGTCTTGACAAGGTTAAGCATTTGGTTACAGTGCAGGCACTGTAACCCTGTGATCTTTACAACTGGTTCCTAGGTTGCCCCCAAATCATAGATGTTGGACTACATCCACAAGTGCAGATGGACTGCTTCATGGAGATCTAGTGATTGCACATGTTCTTTTAAAAATGATAGATAATGTATAAAGAAAATGTGGTACACACACACACAGGAATCCAAAAAAAGGAATGAAATCTTGCTATTTGAGATAACATGGATACACCCAGGGCAGTATGCTAAGTGAAATAAATCAGACAGAGGAAGAAAAATACTATATAATCCCACTTGTATGTGGAATATAAAAATAAAACAAAATGAAATATAACAAAAAAGCAAGCTCCTAGATACAGAGAGCATACTGGTGACTGCTAGTGGGGACTTGGGGGTGGGTTGAAATGGGTGAAGTGTGTCAAAAATTTTTTTGGCAACTTTACTGAGGTGTAATTGGTGTTCAGTAAAAGCATATTTAAACCACACAACTTGGTTTGTTTAGTAAGTCTAAGTATTTCATCAACTTACATTTGCCTCATCCATTCTATTTTTCTAATTTTTCTCTTCTTTTCCATATCTTGCCTTCTTTTCAGTTTAGAAAAATGGAATTTGCTTTCCTTTTGGTCTCCCATCACTACATTTTCAGTAGACATCCAAAACTATTGAGAAATGAAAATGAATATACAAATGTTGGAATACTGATTGTGAGGTTATCTGACTATAGACAAGAACTTCTCTGTGTTCAGTAGGAATATACCAAGAAAAAAATAAAGGAGCAGATAGACCCTTTTAAATATTTCTAGTTAAGTGGTGGGCAAACAGCACATTGAACCTTCAGAAGCACATGCCACAGAAAGACTAAATAGCATATTGAGTGCCCGTAATATTTGTCGAATGAATAAGTGAATAGACATATTCTAAGAGTGTTTTGTTTCTCACAAAACAGATCTTACCTACTCTTACTGCTGTTAACGTTTGAAGATTCTAATCTTTAGAGTGTAGGCACCCTCCAAAAAGACAAGAAGTCTTATGTCCCAGGGGTTTGTGTTTTCCCCTAGATGACATTTTATCCTAACTGGGTACCTATTTTCTAATTCCAATTAATTCCCCCTCCCCATCACAAACACATTAAATAGCAAGAAGAATTTTCTATCCCCCACAATACTGTATTTGCCCCTATTAAAGCACATATTTATTGCACTATACTGAAATATCCTGTTTACTTGACTATTTGAGGGGAGGGAATCTTTATTTTCCATTGCATCCTTATCATCTAGTACAATGCCTGACACATGGTTGGTATGCAGTAAGTCTGCTGAATGAATGAATGAATTCACACCTTGATCATTTTTACTTTTCATACTTAGTATATTTAATACACCACATTCTACAATTTATATACTAGAGATTGTAGATTTGAATGACAGTTTTTGAGTCATATAAACATATCCAGAGCTATAGAATCAGATCATGTTAACCTATAAAATGCAAGCTTACAAATATCCTTAGGTAAAAATTATCTCCACACAAGGGAGATGAAATACGGGTGTCTATAGAAAAGTCCCTGAATCACATATATGCATTAGAAACTACGTATATTTAAAATAATTCTATTCAATTAATATGATACATGTTAAACTCCCAAACACCACAAAAATCCAAAAGATTTCCTACCACTTTTGTTACAAGCTCTGTAAGAGAAAATGTCATATTACTCTGAAGAACTCCCACCTCTAGCACAAAAGTATCACCAAATTTGCTGTTATAAGGATAGCATACTGTGAGTATCTAAAGACGGCCAAATTGGAGCTGATTACTAAAAGTAGAAATAAATGTAAGAAAATAATATTGTTATATCTTGAATTATTAGTAGTAATCCCAGAGTAGTTAACTTAAGCAATTTATATTAGCTAAATTACTCGGATGTATTGTTTTAAAAAATAATATATAAGTTAATTTCCAAAAAGACAAATTTATAAATATATGAAATTCAAAATTATTAATATTTCTTCTTTCTTACTCTATCAGAAACAGGTCTCCAGCCATTGTTCTCTATACGACGATACCAGCCACTATGATCTTCTTCCTGAAGCTTATCACTTTTAACATGAGATGTATGTTTTGCTGGAAGTTTCATATAATTTCTAGGGCTGTTAGCACACAGATCTTCAATATGTCTGTGAGTGAAAATTTTATAGTATATTTCAGGTGGAAATCTCACCTGTAGATGGAAAAATTCAAAGGACCACTGTAATCTACAAAATTGGTTTATATTTTTTAAAATTACATCTGTTAAATTTCTTAAAATGTGCTTTAAAACTACCAAGTAAGAATTCATCCAGGGGCAGAGCCAAAATGGCGGCATGAGTAGAGCAGCAGAAATCTCCTCCCAAAACCACATATATCTATGAAAATATAACAAAGACAACTCTTCCTAAAATAGAGACCAGAGGATACAGGACAACATCCAGACCACATCCACACCTGCGAGAACCCAGCGCCTTGTGAAGGGGGTAAGATACAAGCCCCAGCCCGGCGGGACCCGAGCGCCCCTCCCCCCAGCTCCCGGCGGGTGGAGAGAAACCGGAGCTTTTTTTTTTTTTGGCGAGCGCTTTTTGGAAGCCTTAGAGGGACGGGCCCCCGTTGCTGGGGAGGCAGGGTGGCGGGACCGGTGAGGAGGTGCCTGGGAACGGCGCCGGAGGACAAAGAATATCCCGCGTTTCTCCCTGCGAGACCTGGGGGCGGGTGCCTGAGACCGGTGCCTGAGGACGGAGGAGGTCGCGCGTTTTTCCCTTTTTTTTTTTTTCTCTTTTTGGCGAGCGCTTTTTGGAAGCCTTGAAGGGACGGGGACCCCAGTGCTAGGGAGGCACGGTGGCGGGACTGGTGAGCGGGTGGCTGGGACCGGCGCCTGAGGACAAAGAATATCCCCCGTTTTTCCCTGCGGGACCGGTGGGCGGGTGCCTGAGACCGGCACTTGAGGACAGAGGAAATCGCGCGTTTTTCCCCTTTTTTTTTTCTCTTTTCTGCGAGTGCTTTTTGGAAGCCTAAAAGGGACAGGGACCCCGGTGCTAGGGAGGCAGGGCGGCGGGACTGGTGAGCGGGTGCCTGGGACCGGCACCTGAGGACAAAGAATATCCCGCATTTTTCCCTGTGGGACCGGTGGGTGGGTGCCTGAGACCAGCACCTGAGGACGGAAGAAATCGCGCGTTTTTCCCCTTTTTTTTCTCTCTTTTTGCCGAGTGCTTTTTGGAAGCCTTGAAGGGACAGGGACCCCGGTGCTAGGGAGGCAGGGCGGCGGGACTGGTGAGCGGGTGCGTGGGACCAGTGCCTGAGGACAAAGAATATTGAGCGTTCCTTCCCTGCGGGACCGGTGGGTGGGTGCTTTTTGGAAGCCTTGAAAGGACAGGGACCCTGGTGCTAGGGAGACAGGGCAGCAGGACCAGTGCGCGGGTGCCTGGGACCGGCACCTGGGGAAAAAAAAAAAAAAATCGCGTGTTTTTTCTTTTTTTTTTCCTTTCTGTTCCCTCTCTCATTGTTGCTGTTGTTGTTTTGGTTTGGAGAGTGCTTTTTGGAAATCTTAAAGGGGCAGGACAGGTCACTTAGACCAGAAGCAGGGAATCTGGGGATCTCTGGGCACTCTAACCCCCTGGGCAGCAGGGAGCACAGAGGCCCCTTACGGAGATAAATAGTCTCCTGGCTGCTCCCCCTCCAACGGGGCTCCACCATTTTGGAGGAACAGCCCCAGCCAGGCCAAGCCCACAGCAACAGCGGAGATAAACCCCAAAGCAACTGGGCAGGAAGCAGAAGCCCTGTCTGCGCACAGCTGCCCAGCACAAGCCACTAGAGGTCGCTATTCTCCCAGGAAAAGGCTACAAACCAACAAGAAGGGAAGCTCTTCCAGCGGTCACTTGTACCAGCTCTGCAAACTATCTCTATCACCATGAAAAGGCAAAACTACAGGCAGACAAAGATCACAGAGACAACACCTGAGAAGGAGACAGACCTAACTAGTCCTCCTGAAAAAGAATTCAAAATAAAAATCATGAACATGCTGACAGAGATGCAGAAAAAAATGCAAGAGCAATGGGATGAGATGCAGAGAAAAATGCAAGAGCAGTGGGATGAGATGCAGAGAAAAATGCAAGAGCAGTGGGATGAAGTCCGGAAGGAGATCACAGATGTCAGGAAAGAGATCACAGAAGTGAAACAATCCCTGGAAGGATTTATAAGCAGAATGGATAAGATGCAAGAGGCCATTGAAGGAATAGAAGCCAGAGAACAGGAACGTATAGAAGCTGACATAGAGAGAGATAAAAGGATCTCCAGGAATGAAACAACACTAAGAGAAATATGTGACCAATACAAAAGGAAAAACATTCGTATTATAGGGATACCAGAAGAGGAAGAAAGAGGAAAAGGGATAGAAAGTGTCTTTGAAGAAATAATTGCTGAAAACTTCCCCAAACTGGGGGAGGAAATAATCGAACAGACCATGGAATTATACAGAACCCCCAACAGAAAGGATCCAAGGAGGACAACACCAAGACACATAATAATTAAAATGGCAAGGATCAAGGACAAGGAAAGAGTTTTAAAGGCAGCTAGAGAGAAAAAGGTCACCTATAAAGGAAAACCAATCAGGCTAACATCAGACTTCTCAACAGAAACCCTACAGGCCAGAAGAGAATGGCATGATATACTTAATGCAATGAAACAGAAGGGCCTTGAACCAAGGATACTGTATCCAGCACGACTATCATTTAAATATGATGGTGGGATCAAACAATTCCCAGACAAGCAAAAGCTGAGGGAATTTGCTTCCCACAAACCACCTCTACAGGGCATCCTACAGGGACTGCTCTAGATGGGAGCACCCCTAAAAAGAGCACAGAACAAAACACACAACATATGAAGAATGGAGGAGGAGGAATAAGAAGGGAGAGAAGAAAAGACTCTCCAGACAGTGTATATAACAGCTCAATAAGCGAGCTAAGTTAGGCAGTAAGATACTAAAGAAGCTAACCTTGAACCTTTGGTAACCACGAATCTAAAGCCTGCAATGGCAATAAGTACATATCTTTCAATAGTCACCCTAAATGTAAATGGACTTAATGCACCAATCAAAAGACATAGAGTAATAGAATGGATAAAAAAGCAAGACCCATCTATATGCTGCTTACAAGAAACTCACCTTAAACCCAAAGATAAGCATAGACTAAAAGTCAAGGGATGGAAAAACATATTTCAGGCAAACAACAGTGAGAAGAAAGCAGGGGTTGCAGTACTAATATCAGACAAAATAGACTTCAAAACAAAGAAAGTAACAAGAGATAAAGAAGGCCACTACATAATGATAAAGGGCTTAGTCCAACAAGAGGATATAACCATTCTAAATATATATGCACCCAATACAGGAGCACCAGCATATGTGAAGCAAATACTAACAGAACTAAAGAGGGAAATAGACTGCAATGCATTCATTGTAGGAGACTTCAACACACCACTCACCCCAAAGGATAGATCCACCGGGCAGAAAATAAGTAAAGACACACAGGCACTGAACAACACACTAGAACAGATGGACCTAATAGACATCTATAGAACTTTACATCCAAAAGCAACAGGATATACATTCTTCTCAAGTGCACATGGAACATTCTCCAGAATAGACCACATACTAGCTCACAAAAAGAGCCTCAGTAAATTCCACAATATTGAAATTCTACCAACCAATTTTTCAGACCACAAAGGTATGAAAGTAGAAATAAATTCTACAAAGAAAACAAAAAGGCTCACAAACACATGGAGGCTTAACAACATGCTACTAAATAATCAATGGATCAATGAACAAATCAAAATAGAGATCAAGGAATATATAGAAACAAATGACAACAACAACACTAAGCCCCAACTTCTGTGGGATGCAGCGAAAGCAGTCTTAAGAGGAAAGTATATAGCAATCCAGGCACACTTGAAGAAGGAAGAACAATCCCAAATGAATAGTCTAACATCACAATTATTAAAACTGGAAAAAGAAGAACAAATGAGGCCTAAAGTCAGCAGAAGGAGGGACATAATAAAGATCAGAGAAGAAATAAACAAAATTGAGAAGAATAAAACAATAGCAAAAATCAACGAAACCAAGAGCTGGTTCTTTGAGAAAATAAACAAAATAGATAAGCCTCTAGCCCAACTTATTAAGAGAAAAAGAGAGTCAACACAAATCAACATAATCAGAAATGAGAATGGAAAAATCACGACAGACTCCACAGAAATACAAAGAATTATTAAAGACTACTATGAAAACCTATATGCCAACAAGCTGGAAAACCTAGAAGAAATGGACAACTTCCTAGAAAAATACAACCTCCCAAGACTGACCAAGGAAGAAACACAAAAGTTAAACAAACCAATTACAAGCAAAGAAATTGAAACAGTAATCAAAAAACTACCCAAGAACAAAACCCCGGGGCCGGACGGATTTACCTCGGAATTTTATCAGACACACAGAGAAGACATAATACCCATTCTCCTTAAAGTGTTCCACAAAATAGAAGAAGAGGGAATACTCCCAAACTCATTCTATGAAGCCAACATCACCCTAATACCAAAACCAGGCAAAGACCCCACCAAAAAAGAAAATTACAGACCAATATCCCTGATGAATGTAGATGCAAAAATACTCAATAAAATATTAGCAAACAGAATTCAACAGTATATCAAAAGGATCATACACCATGACCAAGTGGGGTTCATCCCAGGGATGCAAGGATGGTACAACATTCGAAAATCCATCAACATCATCCACCACATCAACAAAAAGAAAGACAAAAACCACATGATCATCTCCATAGATGCTGAAAAAGCATTTGACAAAATTCAACATCCATTCATGATAAAAACTCTCAGCAAAATGGGAATAGAGGGCAAGTACCTCAACATAATAAAGGCCATATATGATAAACCCACAGCCAGCATTATACTGAACAGCGAGAAGCTGAAAGCATTTCCACTGAGATCGGGAACCAGACAGGGATGCCCACTCTCCCCACTGTTATTTAACATAGTACTGGAGGTCCTAGCCACGGCAATCAGACAAAACAAAGAAATACAAGGAATCCAGATTGGTAAAGAAGAAGTTAAACTGTCACTATTTGCAGATGATATGATACTGTACATAAAAAACCCTAAAGACTCCACTCCAAAACTACTAGAACTGATATCGGAATACAGCAAAGTTGCAGGATACAAAATCAACACACAGAAATCTGTAGCTTTCCTATACACTAACAACGAATCAATAGAAAGAGAAATCAGGAAAACAATTCCATTCACCATTGCATCAAAAAGAATAAAATACCTAGGAATAAACCTAACCAAGGAAGTGAAAGACTTATACTCTGAAAACTACAAGTCACTCTTAAGAGAAATTAAAGGGGACACTAATAAATGGAAACTCATCCCATGCTCATGGCTAGGAAGAATTAATATCGTCAAAATGGCCATCCTGCCCAAAGCAATATACAGATTTGATGCAATCCCTCTCAAATTACCAGCAACATTCTTCAATGAATTGGAACAAATAATTCAAAAATTCATATGGAAACACCAAAGACCCCGAATAGCCAAAGCAATCCTGAAAAAGAAGAATAAAGTAGGGGGGATCTCACTCCCCAACTTCAAGCTCTACTACAAAGCCATAGTAATCAAGACAATTTGGTACTGGCACAAGAACAGAGCCACAGACCAGTGGAACAGATTAGAGACCCCAGAAATTAACCCAAACATATATGGTCAATTAATATTTGATAAAGGAGCCATGGACATACAATGGCAAAATGACAGTCTCTTCAACAGATGGTGCTGGCAAAACTGGACAGCTACATGTAGGAGAATGAAACTGGACCATTGTCTAACCCCATATACAAAGGTAAACTCAAAATGGATCAAAGACCTGAATGTAAGTCACGAAACCATTAAACTCTTGGAAAAAAACATAGGCAAAAACCTCTTAGACATAAACATGAGTGATCTCTTCTTGAACATATCTCCCCGGGCAAGGAAAACAACAGCAAAAATGAGCAAGTGGGACTACATTAAGCTGAAAAGCTTCTGTACAGCGAAAGACACCATCAATAGAACAAAAAGGAACCCTACAGTATGGGAGAATATATTTGAAAATGACAGATCTGATAAAGGCTTGACGTCCAGAATATATAAAGAGCTCACACGCCTCAACAAACAAAAAACAAATAACCCAATTAAAAAATGGGCAGAGGAACTGAACAGACAGTTCTCCAAAAAAGAAATACAGATGGCCAAGAGACACATGAAAAGATGCTCCACATCGCTAATTATCAGAGAAATGCAAATTAAAACTACAATGAGGTATCACCTCACACCAGTAAGGATAGCTGCCATCCAAAAGACAAACAACAACAAATGTTGGCGAGGCTGTGGAGAAAGGGGAACCCTCCTACACTGCTGGTGGGAATGTAAATTAGTTCAACCATTGTGGAAAGCAGTATGGAGGTGCATCAAAATGCTCAAAACAGACCTACCATTTGACCCAGGAATTCCACTCCTAGGAATTTACCCTAAGAACGCAGCAATCAAGTTTGAGAAAGACAGATGCACTCCTATGTTTATCGCAGCACTATTTACAATAGCCAAGAATTGGAAGCAACCTAAATGTCCATCGGTAGATGAATGGATAAAGAAGATGTGGTACATATACACAATGGAATACTACTCAGCCATAAGAAGTGGAAAAATCCAACCATTTGCAGCAACATGGATGGAGCTGGAGAGTATTATGCTCAGTGAAATAAGCCAAGCGGAGAAAGAGAAATACCAAATGATTTCACTCATCTGAGGAGTATAGGAACAAAGGAAAAACTGAAGGAACAAAACAGCAGCAGAATTACAGAACCCAAAAATGGACTAACAGGTACCAAAGGGAAAGGAACTGGGGAGGATGGGTGGGCAGGGAGGGATAAGGGGGGGGAAGAAGAAGGGGGGTATTAAGATTAGCATGCATGGGGGGGAGGGAGAAAGGGGAGGGTGGGCTGCACAACACAGAGAGGACAAGTAGTGACTCTACCACATTTTGCTAAGCTGATGGACAGTAACCGTAATGTGGTTGTTAGGGGGGACCTGATATAGGGGAGAGCATAGTAAACATAGTATTCTTCAGGTAAGTGTAGATTAAAAATTTAAAAAAAAAAAAGAAAGAAAGAAAGAAAAGGGGGATTACTCCTTAACAGGATAAAACTATTGGTAAATCAAAGATCAACGCATGCTTTAAATATCCTTAATGTTGATCACTTAAAGGGTGTCAGATGATCAGCTATGGAGGTACTCTTTTCTGATAATATTCCTTTCTCTTAATTAAAAAAAAAAAAAAAAGCAGTTACTGTGTGCTGACCTCCAATGAGTTCTGCACAGTGGTATAGAGGGCATGTCAAAGTGTGGGCAAAGGGTCTGTTTGTTTCTACGCAGAAGATCAAGGCCTAGCTTGGATACCCAGAAAATGAACTAAGATACGATATGAGGAGGAGCTTCCGGCATCAGCACTCTCTGGAGGACTCGTGCCGGGGGATGATCATCAAAAAGCCTCCACAGGGATCCGGACGATGCTGCGGTTGTGGCTGCATCCAGCCCACCGTCTCCTGGACTTGCCATAAGAAGGAGGAGGGAGATGTCTAGGCTGGCATGTGCATACAGTGAGACAACGAATTTGACTGGATCTGTACTGTTGGAACTCAACCAGGAGTTGGGAGGGGTGCAAGTTGTAGCACCCCAAAATCTCATGACTATAGACTATCTATGGTTAAAAGAACATATGGGATGTGAACAGATCCCAGAAATGGGCTGCTTTAATTTGTCTGATGGTTCAAGTACAGTTGGACAATATCCATCATATCATAGATAAATTTTCACAAATGCCTAGGGTGCCTAAATGGTTTTCTTGGCTTCACTGGAGATGGCTGGTAATTATAGATTTGCTTTGTTTATGTCACCGTATTCCTATTATGTTAATATGTGTGTGCAAATTAGTTAGTAGTTTAAAACCTATACATACTTAAGGTACTATACAAGAAGATATGTCAAAGAAATAATCAATCCTCCCAAGTTTCCTTCATATGCTACATCTATAGCTTTTCTTCTTCCTTCCTAATTACAAACCTTAAATAGAATTCGTGCCTCATATCGAATTTACCGAGTATCATAATTCCTCCAGGTGGTAAAGATACCTCGAGACAAGTGCTGGGCATAGAAGCCACAGGGCATAAATCTGCAAAGAAGTAAAAAGCTAACCTTTGCAAACAATATGGCTTCTCTCTCACTTACCAACTTTACATTTCCCTGTATGGCCCCGGAAGATGACTGGTTAGCCAGAGACGGGTAAGATTCCTCAAGGGAGGAACAACCTAAGACAGGCACAGTCGCAGGGGGGCCATCAGGTGAGAATTTGGGGATCAACAGAGGTGAGGCTCAGAACCTCACCCCCCCTGCTTTGAGAGAAATCTTCTGCATCCGTGGATGTCTTGCTGCCCTTGTCTAGCCTGGATTAATACTTAGTCCATAGGCACACACCTGATCATCTGATCATCTACATTTGCCTTCTTACAGCACTAAACTATGTTTTCTACCTTTATCTTGCATCTACCTACCACTTCAGCATTTTATTAAAAATAATAATAATAAAGAGAGAAATGTGGTATCCACATATAAATCAGGTATAAAAATCAAACAAATATTCATATTTGAACTGATTGTTTATAGTTCATAATGCATGATCAAAACCGAAAGTTTCTGTGATGACTGCCCTTGTACTGTTCACCATGTAACTTATTCACTATGTAAGAATTTGTTCTCCACGTAAGAAATTGTTCATTATGCTTCAGAAGATTGGAAACTGATGAAAATTATGCTTGGGGTGGTTTAATTATTGTCCTTTGACTCCCCTATACAGAATTTTATTGTTGTTGACAACCATTTGATCCATAAATATGAGATGCCCTCTAAAAAAAAAAAAAGAATTCATCCATACTTACACCACCTAATCTGAATCGTACTTGAATGCCAGCAGCAGCATCTAGAAGTTCTGCCTACAAAAAAAAGTTAGTCTTCAACATTCTGTATATATCAATTCACTACTTCTTATATTATCATGTTAAAAGAGTTGCTGAATATATTGATTATTCATGAAATAGATCTAGTGAATAAACCTCAAATAATTAATTATTTTTAAATTTGATAATATTTTAAGATTTAATTTCTCATGCACATCCAATAAATGAAACAGCTTACGTAACTGGAAAAATGATGCCAAAATATGTTTTCTTTCTATGCACTATATATAAACATAAAAGCCAAGTGACTTGTTATTCATAAAACTAGTTCTAAATAAGCCCTCAAATATATGACTGATATACTAAATATTATTTTACAGGTAAAGTCAGAGAAAAAGATTGTTATTGACCAATCTAAGTATAACACCAGATGACCTTTCCTAACTACCTTTTATTAAATCAAAAATTCACATTCACATTTTGTAAAGATTGTTAAGCCTTCTAAATTTCAGTGCCCTGCATGAAATGAAAAGTTAAATAAGGAAATAGATGTTATCCTAAATTGTTCAGTCTATAAAGCCTGAAAGACAACATTAATTTTCTCTAAAAATTGTATGTATACGTATATACTATATAGGGTCATAGTTCAAATATGAAAAAAATATGTTTTATAACAGGATTTCAAACTTGTTCATAAAATATGTATTTTATGAACAAGTTTGTATATACATACATACTTTTTTCCACTAAAGAAGAAATTTTAAGTGTACAACTCTATGAATTTCTACCCTTCCTCTTTTAGTTAGGGTAAGGGTTTAACATGTCGATCCAATCAGAGATTGAGCTGGGTCAAGTCTGGATTGCACATTTAGTAATCTATATCTGATTTGTCCAATTCTAGTTTTCCCCCATTTCTCAGATAGGGTCCTGGCAGGTCTCTATCTCCTCAACCATTGGAAAAGATTGGAGAAATGCAGTTACACTCTTTAAAATACTTGAGCTTAATTCTTTATCCTTCTACCACCTACAGACTCAAATGGGGGTGGAGGGAACTCTTTGTGTTTAAGACAGTTCTCTTCCCTCAAGCATTCCTTTGTCTGCTAAACTTACGAGCTGAGATCATAAGAAATTTCATTTAATGGGATAGTGTTACTTAAAGTAGACTTAGATTAGTTATAAATATTCACTACAAACTCTAGGGCAACCAAAAATGTAAAAAAAAAGTGTATTTGATATACTAAGAGAGGAGAGGAAATATAATCATATAAAATGCTCAATTAAGCCAGAGAAGGCAGAAAAAGAGCACAAGACAAAAAAAAAAAAGAAACAAAGAACAACGGCAATATATAGGAAATGGTAATAAATATGGTAAATATCAAGCAAACTACATCAATAATAATGTGAATGGTTTAAATACACCAATTAAAAAACAGAGACCATCAGAGTTCATAAAAAAAGACCCACCTATGTCTTATCTACAAAAATTCCCACTTTAAATATAAAGACACAAATAGGTTAAAAGCAAATGGATTTTAACACTAATCACACTAATCAAATTACATTAATTTCAGACTAAGCTGAATTCAGAGCAAGGAAAATTGTCAGGGATAAAGAGGAATATTAGATGATAATAAAGTGGCCAATTCTCTAAGGAAACATAACAGTCCCTAATGTGTTTATGCCTAACAACAGGGCAAAAACTGATAGAATTGCAAGGAGAATTAGAGGAATCCACTCTTAATAGTTTGAGACATCAACACTCCTCTACCAGTAACTGACAGATTCAACAGACAGAAAATCAGTAAGGCCATAATTAAACTGAACACCACCATTAATCAACTGTATCTAACAGACATTTATAGAACACTTCATCAACAATAGTGAATATACATTCTCCTCAAATTCACATGGAACATTTACCAATAAAACATGTTCTGGGTCATAAAAAACACCTTAAAATATGTAAAAGAATGGACAGTCATACGGAGTCTGCACTCAGACCCTAATGGAATTAAGCTAGAAATCAGTAAAAGAAGGATAGCTAGAAAGCCCCCAAACTTGGAAGTTAACACATTTCTAAATAATAATGGGTCAAATTAAAAGTCTCCAGAGAAAGTTAAAAATATTTTTAACTAAATGAAAATGAAAATATATCATTTTCAAATATATCAAATATATCAAAATTTGTGAGATGCAACAAAAATATTGCTTAGGGGAAATCTTATAGCATTGAATGCATAGATTAGAAAACAAGAAAAATCTGAAATCAGTAATCTAAGCATCCACCTTAAGTAACTAAGAAAACAAATTAAAAGTAACCAGAAGAAAAATAATATAAATTAGAATAGAAATCAATGAAATTGAAAACGGAAATCGGTGGAGAAAAGTCAAAGAAACTAAAAGCAGAGCTTTGAAAAGTTCAGTAAAAGTCATAAACTTGTGGCCAGGCTAAATCTAGAAAAAAAGAGAGAGAGATAAAGAAGAAACAAATATCATAAATGAAAGAGCCATCACTACTAATTCCAAAGGGATAATAAATAAATATGAACAATCTATGCCCACAATTTGATAACCTATATAAAATGGATCAATTCCTTGAAAGACACAACCTGCCAAAATTCACACAGGAGAAATAGACAATCTAAATAAATCTATATGTATTAATGAATTGAATCAATAATTAACCTTTCATAACAGAAGTACCAGGCCTAGATGGATTCACTGCTGAATTGTATAAAACATTTAAGGAGGAAATTATCACAATTTTCTTCCATCTCTTCCAGAAAACATAAGTACAGGGAACACTTCCTAACACATTCTATAAGGCCAGCATTACTCTGAAACCAAAACCAGACAGAAACATTACAAGAAAGAAGAACTACAGACCAATATTTCTTATAAACATCGATATAAATATCTTCAAAAAATATTAGCAAATCAAATCCAACAATGTATAAAAACAATTATACATCATGACCAAGTGGGATTCATTCCAGGTATGCAAGGCCATTATCACAGTATATTAACAAGGTAAAGATGCAGATGCAGAAAAAGCATTTGAAATCCAACAGCCATGCATGATATAAATTTTGGCAAACTAGGAATAGAGAAGAACTTCCTCAATTTGATAAACAATGTCTACCACAAACCTACAGCTAACATCATTCTTATTGGTGAGAAACTAGATGCTTTCCTGCTAAGATCAAGAACAAGGCAAAATATCCCATCACCACAACTATTCTTTTATTGCAACTGGAAGTCATAGCAGTAAGAGAAGAAAGGGAAATAAAAGGTATAAAAACTGAGATATGAAAAAACTGTCTTTGTTCATAAAGAACATGATTATATTAAAAATCCCAGTGAACCAATTAAGAAATTTCTGGAACTTATTAAGCAATTATAGTTGGAGGATATTATGTTAACATAAAAAATTAATTGCTTCTTATATACTAGCAATTTGAAATTTGAAATTAAAACAAAATGACATTTACATTAGCACCAAAAAAAAAGTTAAATACTTAGGTATAACTCTAACAAAATATAGGGAGCCAGGATGGCGGCGTGAGTAGAGCAGCGAAAATCTCCTCCCAAAACCACATATATCTATGAAAATATAACAAAGACAACCCTTCCTAAAATAGAGACCAGAGGACACAGGACAACATCCAGACCACATCCACAGCTGCGAGAACCCAGCGCCTCGCAAAGGGGGTAAGATACAAGCCCTGGCCGGGCGGGACCCGAGCACCCCTCCCCCAGCTCCCTGGCAGGTGGAGAGGAGTCAGCAGGGAGGGAAAGAGAGCCCAGGACTGCTGAACACCCAGCCCCAGGATTCCAGACCAGAGCGCAGACACACTGCATGCGTGGGGTCCTGGATACTAGGGAAAAAGGACAGCAGGACCAGTGAGCAGGTGCCTGAGGCTGACGCCGGAGAACAAAGAAACGAGAGTGGTTTTTTTTTTGGCGAGTGCTTTTTGGAAGCCTTAAAGGGACAGGGACCCCAATACTAGGGAAACAGGGCAGCAAGACTGGTGAGCGGGTGCCTGAGACCGGCGCCTGAGGACAAAGAAAATCGCGCATTTTTCCCTTTATTTTTTTCTCTTTCATTGTTGCTGTTGTTGTTTTGGTTTGGAGAGTGCTTTTTGGAAGTCTTAAAGGGGCAGGACAGGACACTTAGCCCAAAGGCAGGGAATCTGGGGATCTCTGTGCACTCTAACCCCCTGGGTAACAGGGAGCACAGAGGCCCCTTACGGAGATAAATAGCCTCCCAGCCGCTCCCCCTCCAACAGGGCTCCACCATTTTGGAGGAGCAGCCCCAGCCAGGCCACGCCCACAGCAACAGTGGAGACAAACGCCAAACCAACCAGGCAGGTAGCTGAAGCCCTGTCTGCACACAGCTGCCAAGCATAAGCCACTAGAGGTCGCTATTATCCCAGGAGAGGAAGGCCACAAACCAACAAGAAGGAAAGCTCTCCCAGCTGTCACTCATACCAGCTCTGCAAACTATCTCTAACACCATGAAAAGGCAAAACTATAGGCAGACAAAGATCACAGAGACAACACCTGAAAAGGAGACAGACCGAACCAGTCATCCTTAAAAAGAATTCGAAATAAAAATCATGAACATGCTGACAGAGATGCAGAGAAAAATGCAAGAGCAATAGGATGAGATGCAGAGAAAAATGCAAGAGCAATGGGATGAAGTCTGG